CCGGCCTCCCCTCCCCTCCCCGGCCTTCCTGGCACCTGCCTCTCAGGCACCTGCCTCTCGCTCCCAGGCCGGCAGCTCCTGAAAGGCCTCGGAAATCACATGATATGAACCGTATCCCACGAGGGTGGATGGGCACCTGCTTCACGAATTAGTTTGATGGTCAGTACTGAGGTCAAGAAGAGAAGACTGCTGCTAAGTTGGCTGGTTTGCTTTCTTTAAGGTAAATAACGCCTCGAGGTCCCTGGGTTTGGCTGACATGCTGTTCTTTCTGCTTCTCTCCCCGCAGCCGAATGAAACAGCTTAGAGCCTTGGATGCACTTTCACAGCAAGGATGTCCTCTCCTCTAAGAAGGAAGGACAGACTGTCTGTGACCAGGACACGACGGAGACACTGAACGACGCGGGACCAGGAAGCGGGAATTCTCTTGCTTTTACATGCCGCTCGAGCAGGAGCCTGAACCCGATGAGCCAACCCTGCAGGGATAATGGCGAGAAAAACAATGAAATGACGACCCATCATTAATTCACTGGCGAACCAGGCTCACTGCCCCCGGCTCCGGGCCAGGCTGAAGGAGCCGGAGGGTGGCTCTGGGAGGCGGAGAGGGGAGAAATGCACGCGTTTGCCGGCTGCAGACTGGCTGCGGAAACCACGCAAGTGCTGTCCCACGGTTTGGGGCTGGGAGTCCGAGACCCAGGGCTCTGCAGGGCTGGGTCCTCTGGAGGCCTCCGGGAGGGTCCGCTCCAGCCTCGCTCCTGGGCTTGCGGACGCTCGTCCTCACGGGCTCACCCCTCTGTGAGCGTCTCTCTCCAACGACCCCCCCATCGGGGACACCAGGCACGCTGGGTTAGGACTCACCCAATGACGTTCCATCCGAGGAACCCAGGGTCAGGACCTTAAGATATAAGCTTTAAGGAGCACAATTCACCCCGTGAGGATATGTGAATACCATACCTGTGACATGAAGGAACTTAGCAGAAGATGAGAGAAAAACCTCTGGCCCTGGCCAGTTTGGCTCAGTGGATAGAGCATCAGCCTGTGGACTGAAGGGTCCCGGGTTCGATTCTGGTCAAAGGCACATGCCTGGGTTGCGGGCTTAATCCCCAGTAAGGGGCGTGCAGGAGGCAGCCGATCAGTGATTCTCTCTCATCATTGATGTTTCTCTCTCCTTGTCCTTTCCTCTCTGAAATCAATAAAGATATATATATATATTTTGAAGTGCCACATTTATAAACAAAACAAAACAAAACCTTTGTGTGGGACCCTCACATTGTGGGGAGGGTGTCTGAGCTGAGACCTGGAGAGAGACCCCAGGTTCATGGAGCTGAGCAGGCAGCTGCCGGTGCGGGGGGCCCAGGAGAGGGTGGAGAGTGGGGGGAGGGCCACAGCGAGGGGGGCCGCTTGGCCGAGGGGGCCCCAGGTGGGGGTGGCGTTCGAGGTGTATCTGAAGGCAGGACCTAGAGAGTGACTCACGTTCCAACGATGGGGTCGCTGATGGGGAGGAGCCCATGGCGGTCCCACAGCACACAGCGAGCCGACGGAAATCTCAACCACAAGTGAGTGAGCACTCGTTGTGGAGACGCCTCCCTCCCTGGGAGAGGTCACCCTCAGACCAGCCTCCTCCACATCCTGTCCCTCGAGGACCACTGAGGCCGAGGCAGGGCTCCCTGCCACAGGGGACGAGGGTCCCCTGGAGTGAGGGCTCATGGTTCCCGCTCGCCATCCCGGAATCTGACTCAGGAGCCGCAGGAGGCAGGTAGGACGGCCATCAGACCAACAAGAAAACCACCTGCACCCGAGAGCGAGGGCCAGGGGGCCGGGGGCCGGGGGAGGGCAGG